ATGGGGTTAACAGAAAACTGGTTGTGCATCTGGGGCAAAATGCCTTGATGTTGGTGACATTTAAACTCCTGCAGATGTCAGTACAGCATCTGAAGACATATTATTGTGCCCTTTATCTCGCTCTTTAAACCTGACAGTGCTCAGTAGGAAGCCACACAATTGAGGAAAAAAGCTCAGCACACATATTAGAAATGCCTTGTAGATGCTCTGTAGGTTCTGGGACATGGCCCTGCAAGATTGTGACCAAAAAAAAGTTTAAAAAAAATTCTAAAAGTCAACTCAGAGCTGGAAACTTTGAAACTGAGTGGAAAATCATGCTGACATTTATCATATAAGGTTGTAACTGTGGTGGCCTTGCTAATGGCTAACACCAAGAAACAGCAGTGGAGGGTAACCAAGGCTAAAATACTTTTAGAATAACACAAAAATGTTAAATGGGCTATAAAATATATACAAGAGGGGTCAGTGTAAAAGAAAAAAATAATTTCCTTTGAGTATTATGCCTGGCCTCAGTTACTGTTTCTGAAAACTGTGAGGTAAGCATGTTTTGACTCCAATCAATTGAGGATACAATTGCAAATAAGGTTCTAACCCCCCTGGAACTTTCGGAATACTTAGTGGAATCACTTACTAATAAATTCTGACCATATGTTAATAGAAAGTCCCAAAGATATAAATGGAATGCATATTTTCCAATATAGTCAAAATTTTAGCAATCTATGAGTGAAGTCATCAATACATTAATTCTAAAGCTGCGTATTGAGGACAAGCACTTACAAAAAACAGTCCAGAAGCCAGTAGCAGGTTAAATGACCCATGATCCCACAGTCAGGAGGCAGCATGTTTAGTTCTGCTAAGATGTACCACCTTCTTAAACCAGAAATCTGGGAGTGTACCATCTTCCATGTCTCCATCTCATAATCCAAGCCATTAAATAAAGCCAATTAGCTGAACCTTCTAAAAAACTCTCTGATCTGTCCACCTCTCTTACGTCTCTATGTTCTATGTTTCCATGTATCCCTGTCTACCATCTGTTATATGCTAATTATAATCTCCAGAAGTTCATATGTTTAAGTCCTAATTTCCAGTACCTCAGAATGTGACTCTATTTGGGGATAAAGCCTTTAAAGATGTGGTTAAGTTAAAATGAAGTCATCAGATTGGATCCTAATCTAATCTAATATCCTTATAAGAAGATATTTGGACAAACAGAGAGGTACCAAGGACCTGTATGCATAGAGGAAAGGTCATGTGAAGATACAGTGAGAATACAACCATCTACAAGCCAAGGGATAGGCTTAGAAGAAACTAAGTCTTCCAACACCAGGTTAAATATTGGACTTCCAGCCTCTAGAATTGTAACAAAATTCACTTCTGTTGTTTAGGACACCTGATCTATGGTATTTTGTGATGGCAGCCCTAGCAAACCAATACACCATGTGTTACATCAACATATCATACAAAGGGCTTGTAAAAAGTTCATAGAAAATGGAATTAAAGAACAATTATTTTGGTGCAAACCATTTTAAAATTCATGCAAACCTTTTTATAATATGCATTGTTCCAAACTTTTTGAAGACCTTAATTACCTCATTATTTGTTTTATTTTCAGTCTTTTTTCACATCAATGGAAGCCCATGAGGACAGAGAATAAATCTGTCTTACTCCCATAACCCAGAACAGTGTCTGGCACAGGGCATATGCTTGGTAAATGCTTATTGGGGTGATAATGGCTATCGTTCAACCACCCTGGTTGGGGCCACCACTATCTCTTGTATGACTCTAGAACTTTCTTCCTCTTAGGTCTCCTGACTTCTCTATGGCCCTTTAACTCATTCTCTACAGGGCAGCCCAAGTTATCCTTTAACAATTAAATGAGAACATATCAACTTCCAGCATAAATCCCTCCTGCAATGCCTCTCTGTACTTAAATGAATTAAAATGCTCACAGCAATGGCCAAGGCCTGAACTTGCCTGGCCAACATGTACTTGGACCTCTTTCTTCTGTGCTCTCCATGCTCAGGACATGCTGGCAGCACCAAGAGTCCATCTGCATGGCCCCTGTGCTTGCTACTGCTTCTGCCTGGAACGTCTCTTCCCCTAATTATTTCACAGTAAACTCCTTATGATTCCAGTATAAGTTAGCATCATATCCTCAAAGAAAACTCCACTGGCCACTCTATCTCAGGAGTCTTCTCATATCCTAGTGGCTCTTATCTACTATATTCACAATACCTATCACTATCTGAAATAACTAGTTACTTAACATTACTTACTTATCTAAAGCCTTTACTCTCTCTGGCCCTCCTGCTAAGCAAATTACATGACACACGATCCCAGTCAGGAAGCAGAATGTTCAGTCCTTGTCCATGAGGACAAGAACATAACCTTTTTAATTGCTTACGTATCCCCTGTGCCAAATAAGTTCTTGACTATATAACTGGTGTTATAACTTATTTGCTGAAGAAAGGATGGATAAAAATCTGAGCTAGGTATGGACTGACTGCTGGTCCTCAGGAAGGGGCCTCTATTAGTTCTGCTCAATGACACAAGATTCACAAGCTGTATGATGTATATCTACATATGACTATATATTGGGTCATTGGAAAAGTCATGACAATTTTTGCATAGAAAAACACATTATGCCTTTTCTCTGACAACCCAATACAATATCACTATTTGTCTATAGAGTTAAGTGTAATTTTTCCAAATCTAGCAACTCTTACAGGATCCTCAGATGTGAGTTCCGAGAAGTGTATGCTTAATTTATACAAGCATCAAGGTTGAGGTCAGCTGAAGTATACTGCAGAGGAATGAAGCTGGGGCACATCTTCCTGAGTTATATCCCACAGTGCATTTACTAGGTAACTGGTTCTCAGCAATGCTGAAACCATGCAATCCACACTCTTCAGTAGAAAGAAGATGCAGTTCTAAGGAGAATTCTAGACTCAGGAGCATCCCAAATGAGAGGAGTTTCTAAGAGCAGCCATGAAACTTTGGGGAGCTGGGGGTGGACAGGGGATCCAAATGCCCTCTCCCAAGAAGATTTATCAGAAAGAAAGAAACATTTGCCTGTGTTGGAAAACCATGCACAGCACTTATAACTAACACAGAGCTTTACCAGTCTAGGTTTGAAGGTGGTTAAGGCTGAGACAAAGACCGGTCTCAAAGTTAGGGGTCATGGTGGATGCAAAAATTCCCATTAGAGCACAGAGCTTATTTCAGACAGACTGCCTCAAAACTGGCACTGCTGGGTTGAGTATGAGCAGTGAGATGGGCTACAGTTAAAGGAGATATCTCCTGACACAGTCACCCAGTCTTAGGTTAAAGACTGTTCGCCAATGGGCAGTTAGTGCTGAGTCCCAAGAACTGAGGGAAGGAAGATTTAATCCTAATGAAGGGGACTCAGCTACATTACTACACAAAACCCTGTGTGGCTAAAGGCATTTCTGGGACCATTTTCTCAGGAGGTCCACTTCACCAGACATATTCCCTAGGCAAAACTGAATCAATAGACCTATCTGAGAAAATCTTGAAGGTTCAGGGAAAGTCCCAGAGGGAAGGTACTCTTAAACCAGAGTAATGTAGCATCTAGTAGGATCTCAGCATTCCTAAGCTGCTGGCTGATTCTGAGAAAGGAAGTCTCTTTTGCACAGACAACAAACATAGCTACTCAAAATATTTCCTGCAACTTAGAGCTTGTCCCAAATTCTCCTAGGGAAGATATTCTAAGGCAATGAGTTAGACAATGGCATTCTAGCACTTGGCAGAAAGTGATATTTGAGGGTCTGAAGAATTCATCCACCACCTTGGTCAGGGCAGCAGAAGTGGAAAGAGTCATTTCAATGAAAGCATTTTGTTTGGGGCTAAAATGATAATGGTCTCAAAAAGCAAGGATTGAAAGGCAAGCAAGGAGAAGGCACATGACATCCTTTAAGGCAGCAGCAAACTACACCACCGCTCATAGCATGACTCATGGCCAAATGGGGAGAGTAGAGAGAGCCTCGCTAGAGGTAACCTAAAACTGTATGGCTGCCAAGAAACTAAGGGCAATCTCCAAACTGCAAAGCAGTAACAAACTCATGGGTCGGACATCACAATTACCCCTCTCATGGGCTGCCACAATCCTCATGCATATCTCTTTCATTACAGTCCTCCCAACCAAATGTTTCTAGATCTGATGTCACCTCATCTACCTGAGATGTTTTCCCCCTCTGGAATTTAGTGAACCCAGGAACTATATCTCTCTACTGAAACATGTTCAAGTATCTTAGATTAAATACGGCAAAAAGAGAGAGCTTCACAGGGAAAGCGGATGGGCATGGAGGAGTGATATGCCTTTGAGGACTCTTGACACTATACTATGAGTACCAACCACTATGAGAAATCTCTCCCTACGCCTACACAGAGCTGATGAGTGTATTTAAAATTATTTTTAAAGAATTAATAGCTTTGGGGTACTTTTCCCTGTGAGTGAACAGTGTGCTAATTTGCTCAGTGTTTTGGTGGAGTTCTTTTTTTAAAACAATTGCACAAGATTCTATCCAAAGCCCTCTAATTCTTCCACTTCAGTGGTCTGAATCCCACTAATAAACAATCAGGACTTTAGACTCTTTTAATAATGGAGAGAGATTCAAACGACGATGTTTTGCCACTCTCTGCAAATTCCTGGAGGTGCTGCCTGTTGAACAGGCCAGCAAAATTATGGATTTATTCAGGACTGATTGCATTGAGTATGTAAGCATTTTTGAAGGATTTAAGAGAGAGAGAGAGAGGGGAGAGAGAGAGGGAGAGATGTTTGTGAGCTGAATGAATAGAGGGGATTGCAGCCTCTGAATTACCCAGTCTGGCACGGAGCGAGGCTGTATTACGAGGAGGGAATAGACTTACTGCACGGATGAGCAAGGACCCGGACCTCGTCCACAGCGATGTAGCCAGGATGACCCTTCAAAGAGACGGATTCAAATATCACCTGCAACACACAGGGTGGGAGTCAATTTCACAGGTGCAGTTGTAGGGCATTCATTAGAAGAAGCTGCCCAGACCCAAGACCCTTTGTGTTTCTGCCTCCCATCGGAATCAACCAGACAGACTTCACATTAGGACAGAACACTACACTGACGACCAACTTGGGTTTTCAAAATAAGGTAAAAAGGCCACACTCTTTAAAGCGTCAAAAGAAGAGTCAGCCACATGGAACATTTTTAATGGATTTCAGAAATAATGTTTAGATGCAAGGAAAACAATCCAAACATGGCCTGGAGACCCCAGTCTGCACCTTACCCTTTGTGGTTGCCAGTGAAGCACAGAAAAGAACCACTTCCTAATATTTTGACTTTTTATATGAAGAGTGAGAGAGATACCTTCCTTGGAAGCTAGCAAGTTAAGGAAGGAGGGTTGACCCTGATTTGATTCTGCATTCCCAAGGAAGATAATCCATTTGAATTTCTCAATAAGACCTCTTTTATTTTTATTATTATTTATTTAATTTTATTTATTATTACTATTTTTTTTAAGTTTGACCAGAGAGAAACAGAGAGAGAGAGAAAGCAAACCACCAGGTCTGGGACTGAAACTGCGATTGGCCATGTGGGAGTCCAGCACCTCAACCACCATGCCGCCTGCCAGCTTCTCAATAAGACCTCTTAAAAATATGCAGCAACCTACATTTTGGTACCTAGGAAGAGAAGGTAACAAGTCCTTTAAATTCTCAAGTCTAACTGCCACCCTAAACACTTATTTTCATAAGGATTTTATAATTTAGTAAACAGCTTTTCTAAATGTCACTCAACAACTACCTTCACTCAGGAGATGCAAATATCTGTGTGGACAACATGGAAAATACCCTTCACCTCAACAACTCAAAGAGACTTTTCCTCCAACCTACTTGATCACACTCATTCTTGGCCTTCTCAACTCCAGAGACTAGAAAGCTCATTTTCCTGTACTCTGATATAATCTCCTATTTTGAAGGCTTCTCTCAATGCATTCCTCTTTTACCTGTTCCTCATGCTCACATGGTACCTTGCACTCCCTCCTTTTCTAGAATCTACATGCCTGCCCTGATTTCTCAACAAGTTCATTCCACCACCTTGACTAATCACCCATACAATTCCTGCTCAAAGCCTCATTTTTTTGTGTGTGCCTTTATCTCGACTTTGCCACACTTATCTGAAATCTGCCTTCTCCACTAATAAATATGTCCCCATGTCAACATCCACCCATTCAATATCAACAGATACCCATAGCGGAGAGAGATTGTCTTTTAACTTTTAACTTCTGACCTAACCTACATCCACCCAATCACTGTCTCTTCTCTGCAAGGAATGCTGGGGCATCCGACCCTTAGTGTTTCATGTTCCAGCCTTTTGGTTCTTCTCAGTTTTCTCTCTTTAGTCTACATCTCTAAACCCTCCCTTTGACTCTTGACCTTGAGTTATTTGAATGCTTGGACTTTTCCTATCTTTAAAAACTGCCCTTTAGCAATTATTTTCTAGTATTATCCAGATGTTGCAATTACACTGAAAATTCTCAATAGTTTTATCTTTACTCACTCTCAACACTGTCTTACTTGCCACTGCATAACTTCAACATTCTATCCCCAACACTTCTCCCAACACTTCTCTCATGGCAGATACTAGTAATATAATTGGTAATTTTGTTTTTAAGAGAGATTTTTGCTATAGGGCACATGCACTCACTGGAGAGACAGAGAGACAGAAAGCGAGAAATCACTCCCCCCCTACGGGGGTGGTGGTGGGTGAGGGATGGCCACTCAACTCCTTCTCCACTATTTTCCTCTTAGGATTTTGGGCACACATGCATACATGCCTGGTGTGCGTTTTAAGCTGCTGGGTACAGGAATCAAACTGAGGTCAACTACAGGGGAATACAGCAATGTAATCATTATGACATCTGCTGGTCCCCTATTAAATTAATGATACTTTTCAATCTTTATCTTACTTGAAGAAGGAAGACATTATAGAACTTGTGATCTGGATCAGAATGCCTGGATTTGAGTCCTGACTGTGCTGCTTACTAACATGTGACCTTGGGTGAGTTACCCTCGTGTTCTGTACCTCAGTTTCTTTATCTTTAATGATGGTTTCTATCTCAGTGAGTAACTTTTCAGATTAAAGGACTTAACCATTGAAATACAGTGGGGAGAACATGATTAACAGCTTACTGTATATAATGCTACAAATGGTTGAGATGATGGGTATACTAATTACTCTGATTTAATCGTTTCACATCGTATTCATGTCCTGAAAAATCACATAATAACCATTGTTATGTTAATAAAAAGCTATTAAATCAAAAAGAGGGGGGAGTGAATGCCTTACAGAGAACAATGTGTGGCACATGACACATTCTCAATAAATGTTTACTCTATTTATTACTATATGCCCAATCTTCTAAATTATCAGTGTACATGGTTTCTCCCTCTCTGAATTACTCCCCAGCTTAGGCTCTAATGACACTTCACTCTCATGTTTTCTGCCATAAATCTGGGACTATTCTACCACTGATTCGTAGGTGCTTTACCTTTTCCATCCACTCTTCAAGTGTGGGCTTTCTCTGTTCATCGTTTTACTGCATAAGCTTCCTCTTCCATGGCCACTGAGTCACAAACCAAGCCCAGCTCTTCACCCTACACCTGGAGTCCCCAATCCCTGGGCTTCAGACTGGTGCCAGTCCATGTCCTCTTGGGGGCTGGCCACAAACTGATGCTGGTCCATGAGCCACACATCAGAGGGTGGGCAGCAGGTGAACAGCAAAGCTTCCTTCCTTTCTGTTTTCAGCCACTCCCCATCACTTGCATGGTCTCTTGGGCTCTGCCTCCTGATGGATCTGCAGTAGTGTTGGGTTCATGGGAGTGTCAACTGTATTATGTGATTGTTTCATTGCATAGTACAGTGCGGTAGTGGTAGAAATGGGGTACACAGTAGATGCAATGCCCTTGGATCATCCCCGGGACCAGCTCACTCTCCCCCATCTGAGGAAGGATTGTCTTCCATGAGGCCAGTCCCAAACTTTAGTCTCATTCATGTAGCTCACAGTTCTGTGTTTCTATCTAGACACACTGATGCCTCATATGCAATCAGTATGCAACAGATTTGAGCAGCTTCCCTCTCAGACCTCTTCTCTGTTGCTCATGGACTATGCTTTATAAAATACAGAACTCGGTAGGTAGTACTATGATGCAACCAAGCTGGAGACCTGGACATCTGCTGGGATTTTCCTTCTGCCTCATCCTTTACCTTCATTTTCTGTTTGATTCTACCTTATTAGCATTTCTCAAATCTGCCCATGCCTTCCCATCTCTGTTATTAGGATGAGCCACAAGCAGCAACATTTTTTGTAGGTCAAAATCAGATGGACATCAGTGGTACTGTTCTGATTCAAATGATCATCATTTTTCATCTCCACCACCTTGAAACTTCTGAAGCTACTTTCTGCCTCCTGTCTTTAACCCTTCAGTTTAAGCCTGTGGATGGAATGTTAGGCGGGTAATGAGACCAACAGAACAAACTCTACGTGCACCTTTTTGTGGTCCCTCTGGTCCCTCCAGGTCAGTGGATTCAAATGTAAGTAGTCTCAGTAGGACCTGGAGCTCCAGCAGCTAAAACAAGTGAGCAGAGAACCAGCAGAAAGGGTGGTAATGGCTGGGAAGAGGCAGCTTCCTTGGGTGGTAATATCTAATGAAACAGCATGTGGCTACTAGAAATTATGTGAAGTGACTGGGGATGAGAGTTGCATCAAACATGGAGTAGCTGCATGAGAAGGACCTTCATTTTGGTTTATAAGAAAACTGAGTCCTTCAAAAGACTTAACTAAAACTGAGCATGATGAAGGGGTGAAGTCTGTCAAAATGTAAACGTGAAAGATGTCTCATCCCACAGACGGGAAAGTTAACAGAAGGTCTTTCTTTCTTTTTTTTTTTTTTCCTTTTTTTTCTTTGTTTCTTCTTTTCTTTTTTTTTTCTTTCTTGGAGAGGTTTTTGCTATAGGGTGTGTGCGCTCACCAGAAAGACAGAGAGAGATAGAGAGACAGAAAGCAAGGAATCACCCCCCGGGGGGATGGCCACACCACAATCCCTTCTCCTCCTTTCTCTTCTTGGGATCTTGGGCACATACACACATGCGCCCGGTGTGAGTTTAAGCCACTGGGTGTAGGACTTGAACCACGGTCAACTACATGAAGTCCAGTGACATAAACATTACGCTAACTGCTGGTCCCAACAGAAGGCCTTTCTATAAGAAATCATGGCATTCTCTATGGAATATTACTCAGCCAAGAAAAAAAAGACCCTAGCATTTGATAAAAAGTGGTCAGATATGGAGGATCTATTCCTGAGTGAAACATGCCAGGATATGAAAGAAAGATATTGTATGTATCCATTTAATATATACTGACTATCAGCACTTTATGATGAACAGCACTTTATATTGGAGAACATAAAAGCAAAGAAAATAATTACCGATACTGAAGACAGTGAGGAACAGGGTGGGAGAAAGGAAGAATATAGAGAAGGATAGCAAGAGAATAAATAAAGAGGCATGATAATTAGTGGGACACAGAAATGGTTTATTACCTGTTGATGATAATATGTATAGTATTCTCAACTGGACTGGTCTGAGAAGTATTTCATGTTGGGTAAATTCTTTTTATAAGCAAAATGATATATAGTGATTGAGCGTTAAAAAATAATGATAATAATAATAATAATAACAACAACTTGGAAAAAAATGATGAAAAGCTATTTGATGATGTGGATAGTAATGTCTTTGTCTTGACTGAACATGATATTCCTTCTAGAAAAAGAAAAGAAATGTAATATAGTGTAAGGATATATGTGATTCAATGTAACATAAACAAGATTATAATAAAAATACATAAAATATAATAAAGGAATCATGGTCAGACAGTGGTGCAGTGGCAATGTGATGTTCTATGAGACTGACTACAATG